ATTTTCAATAGAGCTGCGACCTTGCGCAAGTGTATGCACACATAGACGTCTCGTACCACAGCAAGCGTGTTATTACACATTACAAACACTCCACTCCTTTACTTCTCACATACTTATTTTCTTACCGCCTCTCCTCCTTTCCCAATTGTCTCTAGATTTTCCATACGCTTCATGGATAAAGAGAGAGAAATGCAGAATGAAGTATCTTCCTGCTTTTTGGAACGATATTTAGGAATTTTGTTCCCGTTCTGTTTTACCTTAAAATATACACACTTGGTGAATAACTGTTACATCTACCACTTTGGTAAAGTTAGAGATAAATCTGTCTCTGTAACAAACCGTGAAGGCCCATAGGGTTGCGAGACGTCGAGGCTCCCGTATTCTCTCTAGAAAATCGGCTCACGGATGGCAGTGAGGTTATCAGCCTTACGCGCCGGCCACCTTTTCAGCCCAGGAAGATTCCTGGTACTCATTTCTGTTAGAGACTGAGTCGAATCCAGGGCCACAGTGAGGTTGGAAGGATTAGATCTATTGAAAAATTTAATGACTCCAATGGGGATTGAACCAACGACCTTCCGGCTAGTAGCACAGCGACTCAACTGCGTGGCCCTCTACTGCTTTGGTAGGACTTCCTAACTGAAAATAGAAACCACTGATTTCTGTTTCTCTAAATGCAATGTCCTGCCACCTTGTGATGATTTAGTTGAAATGAAATCGGTATCTCGAGATCTTACAAAGTTTGATGTTGTCAATGACAATTTGAACTTCACTGGAACGAACACTTCTGCAGTGTGGTGTTTCAGACTTCCTAAACTCATGAATATTCAGCAATGTACTAAAGTAATTTTCCACGTGCCTACGATATTCAGGGATTCTCCTTCTTTCTGAAATGTATTCTAGCTTTGTATCCGTTGTTAAATTCACCCATGCGTTAATTCAAATTCACGATATTTTTGCTTTTACTGTTTGTTTCCATCTCGCTGACTTTTATCTTTTAGATATTCCCTCTTTTTTCTTCATGCTTCGGCTAGTTTTCCAATTTCTAGTGATACAGGTCACCTGTCCAGCCATTGCGTTCTAACCTCCTTTCTTTCTTCTCCTAAGTCAACGCCTTTGTCACCATGGCCTGGGTTTAGACTGAGAACTTCTGTGATATCTTACCCTTAAATTACATCAGTATTCAGGTTATTTCATGGAGTGATGACCCTCCGAGATTTGATGAGTTAGTGTACGTGCTTGTCAAGGCAGCAGTGTAAGCACTCCAATATCTATGGAGTGAATACATCCACGATTAAAAGAGACGTCACGTAAAAATGAAAAATTAATTATAAATTAAATGGAAAGTGTAGCAGAAGAGGCGTTAAGTTTTTATAAAAATTTGTTCCAACCAAAAAATAATCTTGCTTTTTATTGAAAAAGAAATAATTGGGCCACTAAGTCAATAAATTACCATTTTTATAGGAATTAAAAGATCGGTATCTTTAAAATATTGCTGAGAATAATATTTTGGCGAGTGATAAAATATAAAAGTAACAGAGGAAATTATAAGACTCTCATCATAATTTGTACTCTCTGTAAAGTACTATTATAATGACTAAATAAAGAATGATGAGATGGAGAGGACACGTAGCACATATAACAAGAATACATATTGCATACAAAATTTCGATTCGGAAACCTTTAAAATGGAGACAGCTTTGTGGGGATTTGAAGCGTCGAAGAAGAGAGGTAATAGGCATATTAATATTTATCATATAAAAATATGCTGTGAAGAATTGAAGTGCATCACTTAGCTAGAGTTCTACATTAGAGTGACGATGCTGGTCTACGAGCCTCGAAGTCAGGTGATAAGGCAGGTCTCTCTCTTATTTCATAGTGACGCATGCGTGAAAGAGTAGTTCTTGGATATTGGTTTAGTGGTCTGACAGCGCACTAACTTCCAGTTGAGAATATATGAATTAGTACAGGTTATTCGTGTAGAAAACTTTTGGTAGAGACCGCACTTTTTAAACAAAATTAATCATGACCAGAGCAGCAATATTTTTAAACTTGTTTCAAATTAAAGATATTTTGCATTATTGTCACATTAAAGTACAAGGCACTGAAAAGTGATTTCACGAGAATGTCTTTATAAATACACCAATAGCAGCTTCGAATCACTACCATTTGAATAGCTACAAGATGGAGCGATGAAAGCAACCGCTTCATTGTTTGCTACTGTGTGGTTAGTTGTGGCAAAATGCGCATTCAAATGGAAGTCTGACGTGAAACAAACCCGCTTTTCTGAGATGTACCAGTAGACTTGTGTCTTATCAGGAGCTACCGACTGCTACTTCAATAAACACGTTGTGGACCATTACACGCAATAGTATAAAAACAATGATGATGATGACTTGTCTGAAGGCTCTAAGTGGCTCAAAATAGAGTACTGAATGGTAGTATGACTAATGAGAAACAAAATGGACAGGGTGTGGACCGAAACGTCCGTAACCAAATTTGGGGCAGGCTATTGCTCTGGAATTTTCCTGGAGGGACGGAAGATAATATACTAGTAGATGACCTCTCTCTGGACCAAGATTTGAACCCAGAAACTCCGGAATATGATATACTAATAGCAATCATTCAAGTGAAATATTCTGTTGTTATTATGATGATAAATCGAGGGAATAAATTTTCAAAATAATGAAACTTCTATGCCTGTCCCAACCGGATTTAGTCGAGCAACATAAAATTCAAAGTATCAGTTTACTGACTTAAAGACATAAATCTGCTTAAAGGAAAAGAAATGTGTGCAATTCAAGGTCAAGTTAAAACAATTAGAAATTATACTAAATTATATATATATATATGTGTGTGTGTGTGTGCGTGCGTGCGTGTGTGTGTGTGTGTGTGTGTGTGTGTAGGCCTACATTTACATTACACTCAATGAAATAAAGTCCTTCTTGAAGAACAGAACCTAACCCACCGAGTTATATTCCACACCTACCACCGAATCAAAATAATCTTTACCATGCACATAACAGCCCGCCACAGAACTCTGTCCTGAGCCAGGTAAACTCAGTCAACCTCTTCGCATTCTATTTCCGTACAGCATATTTTAGTATTTTTCTCTCATCAACGTCTTATGTTTCTTCAGTAGCCTCTTTGTTTCAGGTTTTCCAATTAAAATTGTGTGTATATTTCTCATATAACCAGTTACGATCTCCTCGCATTCAATTAATAATAATAAACACTCACAACACACACAATAGTCCATTTGCTGAAGCAGAGGTGCAGTAATGCAGTTGAGTTGACTAGTCACTGGACAAAGTCCACGCTCCAATATTCTAGACGCTTTTCAAACAGAGCACTTCTTGAAATTCACGCCAACTCATACTACAGATACACCCAAAAAGTACTGACCACCTCCACCTCCACCTCCACCTCCACCTCCTCCTCCTTCTCCTCTTACTACTACTACTACTACTACTACTACTACTACTACTACTACTACTACTACTACTAC